GTCCAACTTAATTAAATTCAATTTTAATAGTGCACAAGCCTAAATTATTCAAGAACCATTCTTTAAATCAATTTAGGTCAATCTTGATGCTACAAAATTGAAGGGCTACACTCATAATCAATTTAATCAAATGTAAATTAATAATGAGATTTGACAAAATTAAAGGGGTTGGAAAATTAAACCCTTTCATCCAATGAAAAATTTCCAATAATAACTTGTGTAAAATTGAAAAAATTACATCTTCCAACATGAAGATTAATTTAGTTTCAATAACAAGTTTTGAACTTTTAGGACTTCAATCAACTCAAAAATGATTAAAACCAAAAATTAGTTCAATATGAAATTTAGCAATCAAAGTTCTAACCAAATAAACCATTAAAGATTGGATCTTTGAAATATTAGGGACTTCAAAATTATAAGTTCACCATAAACATTCACACTTGAAGCAGTTATGACTTCATAAACATGCTTAATGAGGTTTATAATTGCAGTAGATTAGGGATGAAACCATACAATTAATCTACTTTCAACATGCAATAATTAATCAAGGTTTAAAGATTTAAAATTTTTCGTCAAAAATGAAAAACCCCTCGAAAAACATGTTTCTGGGTGGATTTTGGCTTCTGGACAACTAAAAGGGACAAAAACGATTTAGAACATCGATTCCACCCAAAAATCCCTATTTTTGAGTCAAAATCTGGGTTCGTCAGCCAAAATTAGTAAAATACGAGATTAAAACTAATTAAACGAGCTTCTAATCTAATTAGAAAGCACAACCAGAAATCTAAATCCATTTTAAATCACCTTAATTAATTATTAGTTACAAAAATTAAAGTGAGCGCGGCTCCCATACCGCTATTGGGTTTCGTAGAGTTCGACTCTACGCGAAAGAGAAACTCGTCCAAGACCCGCCCACTAATTAAGGCAACTAAGCATGCAATCAAATAATTAAACAATAAACAAGGGAAAGAGAAAAGACATTCTTAGCCTTGATGCGTGCTTCGCTCGAACCCGAGCTCTTACTTGAGAAGCTAAACCTCGCAAGCGCGACGGTCTCCAACGGCTCGTATCCACGAACCTGACCCGAACGGTCTTAGTCTCGAAGGTTAGTCGGGACTTGACCAATAAAAACTAGAGTATTACGAACTTAAGGTTTTCTAACTTTTCTAAGGAAATGCCTTTTTAGTTCCACTCAAGTGTTCTTCCCAAATCCCAAAACTTGGGTATTTATAGGGAAATGAACCTTGATTTCCCATTCTCAATCAATGTGAGAGATTTGCATTTTCCTCTATTTTATTTTAATCAAAAACAAAATAAAATGCAATTCAATCAACAAGCTACAAGTGGTATAAGGAGGAAGAGAGAAGGTGAGGACCTCCTAAAGGGAGGACCAAGTCACCTTGCTCCCCAAGCCAACCACCAACTATTGGTCCCCTCCCCTTGACCGGCTAACCAAGCCACATGGTAGGCTGGCAGCCTGCCTTAGCTGCCAAGGCAGCCAGTTGGCGCTTAGCACCAAGGCTGGGCTGCTGGCCAGCTTGCCCATGCACACGTGCAGCCACACAGCCAGCCAACGCATGCATCACTGGGATGCAGTGCGTGATGTTGTTGGGTGTTGCTTGCTATGCGAGCGGCGAGGTGCATGGTGCTGCTCACTAGCAAGCACACTCAGCAACACACACGCATACACAGCACGCTGCTGCAATGCGTGTGCTGTGCGAGTGCACTGCTCGGTGCAAGGCTACGATGAGCTGGGCGCCTAGAATGCTAGCAAGCCCTAACCTTGCGATGGGTGCTTGGCTAGCGATGCGCTTGGTGCCTGGCTAAGCATGCTAGCAAGCACGCAAGGCATCATGTCTGCGATGCTTGCGTGCTTTGCTAGCACGCACCGCCACACACACGCACGCATGGCTTGCGATGCTGCGTGTTGTGCTGTGCGAGGCCCAAGCATGCGGCGATGCTTGGTAGGCTTGCGGCTGGGTGCATGGCCTAGCACGCTAGCAATGCCAGCCATGCTAGCACGATTGGCCTAACACGCAATGCATGCTAGGCTTGCGACTAGCATTGCGATGCGTATGCTAGCTCGAGCTAGCCTAGCACTCGCATGGCTAAGCCAATGCGAAGCTACGGCCTAGCTCAAACTTGTCGCTTGTTGAATTTACGACGCTCGGTCTCGATACTCTAAGCCCGATATCCGACGTCTTTGTTCGTAATACTCTGATGACTCATCTAATCCTTCGGTTTGATTCTTCGTCTCAGATCGGTTGTTCGATTGGGTTCGACCCGAAGGGTTCAGTCGAGATTAAGCCGTAATATTAATTGTACATTAATATTACTGATCGGAAGCAGCCTCCACCTAGGCATTCTGATCACTACCTTACTGAAGAATTAGCTTTCTAATAATTCTGAACCCTCTATCGGAATAATACACTTGTTGGAAGGACATCATTCCTTTCACCACCTACCCATGTCTCATGGTATAACTCTCAGCAAGAAACAGTGTCCGCAGACACTTGATGAGCGAGAGCGGATGAGTCAGATTTTATATGCTTCGCTTATTGAATCGGTCATGTATGCCATGATATGTACAAGGCCAGATGTATTCTATGCCTTGAGTGCTACGAGTCGATACCAATCTAACCTAGGAGAGGCGCATTAGACTACGGCCAAGAATATCCTAAAGTACCTGAAAAGGAACAAGGATAAATTTCTGGTCAATGGTGGGAGTAAGGATTTGGTCACCGACGTAAGCTTCCAGACTAACAGAGACGACTTCAAGTCGCAATCAGGGTACATATTCTATCTAAATGGAGGAGCGTTCAGTTGGAAGAGTGCTAAGAAAAGCACAACTTCAAATTCTACAACTGAAGCCGAATACTAGCAGCTTCTGAAGCAGCTAAGGATGCAGTTTGGATTCGTAAGTTTGTTGGTGAACTTGGTGTTGTCCCCTCAATAAAGGGACCAACAGACCTCTATTGTGATACTAGTGGGGCTATTGCTCAGGCTAGGGAGCCAAGGGAGCATCAGAAAGTCAAACATGTCATGAGGCGATTTCATATGATAAGGGAATGGAAGTCAGAGGGTGAAATCAGAATTTGCAAGATTGGAACGGACGACAATGTAGCCGATCCACCACTAAACCTTTGCCTCAGTTGAAACACAACAAGCACGTTGAGACAATGGGAATCAGGCATATTGGAGATTGGCTTTGATTTCCCTGTTTATGTGTTTTAATTTCAGTTTTGGAGACTTTAATGTAAAACACTATGTTGAACCATTCATTTATGGAGTAATTTAATTTTTCTGCAAATTATTATTCCTTTCTATCTAATTGAGGTTTAGAATTAAATAATGACTCCATTCGATTTGAGAATATTAAAATAGGGTATCAAGACAATGTGTTGGATAGAGAAACACCTATTAAGTGAACGTTGAATATCATATTGAAATTATCTCTAATCAAGGTCATTTGAAAGTTGGATGACTAATGACCACGCGAGATTAGTGTGTAGTATAATTTATAGCATCGTTTCTTGTGCTACAAGGACAAGATTGTCATAAATCATTTGCACAGGTATTAGTTTGGAACTATACTGGATCGACCTATGAGAATACTTTAAGAGATTTAACAATTGTCATAAGTATATTGCTCATTATGGCTATCAGAACCTCTTTCCTCAACCAAGAGTATTGTAAGTTCTCTTGTTTGAGTACTAGTCCGTTTTGATGTTGTCAAACGTCTGCCATACAAAGGAATTATAAAGGCAACACTCGGGCGGCTAGGGCCTCTTAGTAAGGGAAGCTAACAATACAAGACTGGAATGTCCCCCTATGTGTTAACAATAGGGAACATGTATTTGTAGTTTACAAGGCCTCTCGAAGAGCGAGATTGTGAAAATGCATGGACGTGCTCTGATGCATTTTAGAAATCATCTGCTTATTGAAAGTCGATTCGGAAATCGAGAAACACTTCTGGACGTAATAAGGATGACGAAGAATCTTACCTTATAGTTCATGAAGAGACATTAAGTGACATAGGAAACAGGCTATACACAAACAGCACACTTGTTCGGAAGGACAAGTGGGAGATTGAAAGGAATTGTGTCCTTCGAAAAAGTGTATTATTCCGATAGAGGGTTCGAAATTAATTAGGAAAGCGAATTATTCAGTGAGGTCAAGTGATCGGAATGCCTAGCTGGAGGCCGCTTCCGATCAGTAATATCAATGTATATATACATTAATATTAGAGCAGGATCTTAACTGAACCCTTCGGGTCACACCCAATCGTGTAACCGAACCAAAGCGACGAATTAATTTGAAGGATTAAATGAGTCGATAGAGATTTTACGAACTAAGACGTCGGATTCCAAGCTTAGAGCGTTGAAGCCGGACGTCGACACTAGTGCATAATTAACCTTAAGTAACACCCAAAAACTGTTACATAAAGCGGTAAAATTGTTATTATAAACAATAGGTAACACTTTAGTGGGTGATATTTCCGCCCATGTTTCCTAAGGTCTTATGTAACACTTTGGGTAACATATGGTATGTTTCCTAAGGTCTTATGTAACACTTTGGGTAACATATGGTAACACTTTTATAAGTGTTACTATCGACCCTCTTATGTAACACTTTTTTATATTATTAGTATCACTTTTAAAGTGTTACTTTTTGTTTCTTATGTAACACTTTTTTATATTATTAGTATCACTTTTAAAGTGTTACTTTTTGTTTCTTATGTAACACTTATTTATCTTATGTAACATTTTTTAATTATATAATAATACTTTATCCGACATTATATATCACTTTTGCGAACTAATGTAACACCTTGTTGTTTATTAGGTAACATTTTTCAATCATCTTTTGACATATAGTAACACTATAATTAACATTAGTACCACATTATTTAAAATATGAAACTTTTTTTTTATTTATTTTTTAAATATAAAAACATGTACAACAACCATGAATGTGAAATTAACATATAGAATAGACAATAATTCAAATTGATATAATTTCATAGTATCTTAAAAAAAAAAAAATTCCATAAACACCATATTTTTTTTAAAAAAAAAAAGTCAACTTTGCTCTCTAGATTAGACCATCAAATTCTAAAACAGAAAAAGCAAAATTAACAGCCGTTAGCAGCAACTAGTAGTAACATCCGGTAGTAACAGCCGATAGCAGCAGCAAATAGTAACAGCCAATAGTAGTAACAAAAGTCAGCAGTACCAGCAAATAACAGCAGCTTGGAGTATCAGCAGTCAGCAGTACCAGGCCATCCAGCAGACAGCGGTAGTAACAGCAGCTAGTAGTAACAACAAATGACAGTAGCTTGGAGTATCAGCAGTCAGCAGTACCAGGCCACCCAGCAGACGGCAGTAGCAGCAAACAACAAGGCCACCCAGCAGACGGCAGTAGCAGCAAACAGCAGTAGTAGCAGATAGTAGTAGCAGCAAACAACAGTAGTAGCAGTTAGCAGTGGCAGCAGCAGGCATTAGAAACAACAAACTCTTGATGTTCAGGTAGTTAGCAGCCTAAAGTAAGAATAATGGCACCGAAAGTTAGTATCGGGATTGCCAAACCAAAGAAAGAACACATAAGAAAGGAGTAAAGACAAATTTTCATGAGGAGCCCAAAAGCAAGAAGTAGAGCACAATAGGAGCATTCAATCAAACATGGCCCAACATAGTCAGACCATGCATTAAATTTAAGGCTACAACAAATAATGTTTTGCTGACATGGAATGGACAAACAAAGCTACAATAGCATAACAAGACCCACATAAACAGATGGAAGAACTAAAATGTACAGGGAAAAGATTGATTCTGTGTAAAAAATTATCTAGGAAAACAAAAACCATCATGTTAACAACTTTCAGACAAACCTATTATTCCACATAGGACAGGGCTGCTTGCCTTAAGGCTACAGGCCTACATCACATAGATCATAGCTCAGAGTGTTTTTGACAACAGAAACCCAATACGATCCCGAGTAATGCCAAGGTCAGGATGTTATAAAAGACATCATCAAAGAGCCAAACATGAGTTGCATTTATAAATAGTACGGGGTAGCACTTAGCAAAGCAACAACCAAAATTTCTTCCCAAATGGAACCCATTGGTAACTATCACAAAAACAAAGTCCACATGTAAGCATTATTTATGTCAACAAATAGAATAACAATTGTCAAAATTAGAATGCTAGCATCTAACTTATTTTAATTAATAAAATGTTGGTTATGAATTATGAGTTTAATACAAAGACCATAATTCCAAACTCATCAGACAATTACTTGTTCACAAACTTTTCACAAGGCTATTATAATACGAAGTAATATTCATTTCACATCTCAAGGAAAACTCTTTTCGCTCCCCTGAGCAATCCTATTTTGTCAAACACTATATGACAAACTCATATAATTCTAGTAACAACTAACAAGCCTCTCCCTTTTACCACGAGTAACAAATACCCTCGACAACAATCACTTTCATGTGTTGATTAGTAAAGATTAATAAATTATCTAATGTAAATGTTTTTAACATCAAACTAAAACTCTATTCCATTAAAACTAATAGGCTTCATTTTCCATTTACAATCAAACATTACAGAATTATATATCAAAATAAATAGTACTTTGTACATACTTAAATTAATTTAGCAATCATATTTTTGCAATATACATAGAGAATACTACTGAGTAAACTAATCCAATCAACAATCAAGCACAAACAGTAATAAAATAAAATAAATAAATAAATAAATAAAATAAAATAAAATAAAAAACAAATTATAGTTGAAATAGAAGTATTAAAGTTGTGAATCAGTAATTTGGTTGAGCAATAAACAATGAAAGCATAAGACAAAGTGTAGGAGAGAGAAAAAGAGGAACCTGGACAAGAGCGAAAGAAAGTGTTGCGAAGGGTGGATCAAACGGTCGCTGCCCACAAAAGAGGAGAGTAGCCGTGACTGTAAACTTATGCTCCCTACCATTCTCTCAATTTTCACACTTGCGTTATCTGTACGGATAATTTGTTGGGCTTGAAACCCTAATTTTAAAAAATCAACTATTATAATCAAATTTATGGCAATTAATCATGAAATTGAAACAGGAAAGAAGAAAAACCTGAGAGTGCTGTAGTTTCATGAGATAAATTAGGGCTTGATAGGCGAAATTGAGCTCATAATCAGAGTATCGAACACCACCACAATTCCAGCTTTTCTCTCCTCTAGTTCATGATCTTCCGCCATTTTTTATAGTTGTGGATGTGGTTGCAGTTGCGGCTGCACTTTCAATGAAGAGAGAGATAGGGGGGAGAGAGGAGAGAGGAGAGAGCGGTTGATTGAGCGAATGGGAGGAGGAAAAAGAAGAAATAAAACCAAAAATAAAAGATTGAGGGATGGAGAAGTACGAGGGAGGAAGAAAGTTGTGAGCCTGTGACTAATTGACTATGAGGGTCGATTTCAATACTCCGTAAAACGGATTTTTCACCGTATACCACTGAATTAATGCATAATTCACCATATATCACACGAAATTTTCTAATATACCAAATATCACTGCGTTTTTGGTAAATGTCACAACATGCCCTTTCCGTTAACTCAGTTAGTCATTAACGTTAATTGTGCCACGTGATAACTTGTAATTGGTTCTTGTTTCGGGGTTTTTTTAAGTCCTGCGGGAGAGTTACAATTCCGGGACTGGTATCGTGGCGCATGTACCTGCAAAACAACGAAGACTCCTTGTGGTGGGAGTTCTTCCTCCGACGATCAAGTTAGAACGTGTATGAGGAGTGAATAGTGCGGAAAAGTAAAGGTTAGGAGATCTGGTTCCTCTAGCAGAGGAATGATCAGTGTGTTTAGATTCTCTAGGTGAGAGTAATTAATTGTTGAATCCCCTTTAATGAGGATTAATTAGAGTATTTATAACCTTGGAAAACGTGCCAAATACTAGGTTTAGGTTAACCTAGGGCTGACTTGCCTTTACTTGGAAATTGGGCCTAGGTGGCCGTTTGGCTTGTTTGGCATATGGAGGCCACGTGGCAGGACACAACTGGTCCATGGTGGACAGATCAACGCCTGACACGTGGCAGGCTTCTATTGGCCCATTTGGCGGACACTTGGCAGAGCCTAAATGGTCCACTTGTCAGATGGTGATTGGTAGGGAAAAACCCCTAATCATTTGCCCCTCACAGGTGTCACATGACTGTTCACATGTCACCTGTGACAGGTGTCGGCCTGTAACAGGCGACGGGCTGCTACAGGTGTCGCCCTATGACGGGCCGAGCATTTTTCCCGCTCGTTTTTTGAATTTGGAGGCGACTCTTTGCATTCTCCTTTGCCTTATATAAAGGCATGTTGATCAAGTCTTTTGTTCACATTTGCGAACTTTTTCAAGAGAACTCTCGGACCCCTGAACTTGAGCTCTGACTTTCTGGACGACTGCTTTTACCAACCGCCTGTTTTTTGTGGGACGCTTGTTCGATCAAGCTTTCATCCAAAACTTAAGTTTCAGGTAACCGATTGTTCCTTTATCCTTTTTCTGTTTTTCTTTTTGCATTATTCTTTTTTTAAAAAAAAAATGAGACCCCAAAAGCATCCGGCACGACCTAGGTTAGCAATCAGCCGGTCACCGGGGACGGCTGAGTGAAAATGAGACCCCAAAAGCATCCAGCACGACCTAAGTTAGCAATCAGCCGGTCACCGGGGACGGCTGAGTCTAGGACTAGGGGTGCCGACTGCCCTGCGGTACTTCAAACTTTGCGCAAGTCCCAGAATCCAACTGTCTTTGTATCTATGCAGGACAGTATGGCAAGAACAAAAAAGACCAAGAGGATTGAAAACTCTGATGGCTCCGCTTTCCGGGTTCAAATTAGTGAGCTGTCGGACCAGCCGCCTGATACCGCAGGGACCCAAGGTGGCCCTTCTGCCGAGAGCTCTGAGGAGGGAGCTAAAGTAGCCCCTTCCCACTTTACTGTTGACCTGGCCAGTCAGCAGACGGCCCCTGAAGAAGAAGAGGGGTCGGCCCCCTCAGGGAGAGGGGAGGAGTCGGACTCCTCTGAAAGCGAGTCTGACTCTAGCTCTTCAAGCCGCCTCTCTATAAATTCAGAGGAAAGGCATGCTTGCTTGCATGAGGCGAGGCTTTCTCATGCATCTAAAAAGGGGGACGACTGGTCGGAACCATCCGCCTCTCATAGGGAGTTGAATACTCCTTATTACTGTCATGTCCCAAAGGGCCGGATCAAGGTTATGAAAGAACGAATAGACTCCTTTCTTTCGGACCATGTGATGGGTCCTGATTTTCAAGTTTTTGTGCCGGATGCTGAGGATACGGTCGTTTGGCCCGCAGGAACCAACTTTGGGGACGCCTGTTTTGGCTGTTACGAGGAGGCCATTAAGGCTGGGCTTCGCTTTCCCTTGCATCCGGTCGTTCAACAAATCCTCGATGGATACGACGTGGGGCTTTGGCAGTTAGCCCCGAATTCCTGGTTCAACATCCTTGGCTATGTAGCCGGATGTGAAATGCACGGGGTGGAGCCGAATTTTGAGGCGTTCACCCATATGAACTATCTCAGCAGGGACCCCAAGGCAAGCGGTACCGGTTGGTACCAAATAACGAGCCACAAGGGCTACCTAATGACAAGGGGCAAAGAAAATAAATGGAAGGATTGGAGAAACACCTTCCTCATCATTGCCAGCCCTGACAAGCTGCTGAACAAGCGCTACAATAGGTGGAACAAGGATCCGCCTCTTCTAGCAGGCGGTCGCAGCATGCCGCTTGTCCCCCGCAAGGCCCGGGAAGAGATCCTTGACCGAGGACTCTTCAAAGTAGAAATTAGGGCAAACTCTACTACTGGGGTACGAGAGCAAGTGCCCCTAAACTGCGTCCCAGAGTTTCAATGGCTCTATGACGAGTTTTTTCTGGCCGCCTACGGCCTTAGCAGTCAGTCCTCCCGGTCTCTTGAGTATATGTACACTTCTTTTGGTTTGTTTTCGAATTTTTTCTAACTCTTTGTGGTTTTGCTTTCAGCTGAAGCTATGGACCAAATTTCTGCATCCAAGAAGGCGGCTGCCTTGCTGCGAGCCTCCATAATGCAACAGAAGTAGACCTCTTCTGATTCTCCTGCCAAGGAGACGCCGATAGTGAGTTTCGAGCCTTTGAACTTGTCTTGAAAAGCTGCTTATATCAGCATTGACCATTCATCTTTTTCGCAGGCGGGCACTTCCAAACCCTCCTCCTCCCAACATCCGGACTCAAAAGTTCGGAAGACGACTGCTGGGAGTATGCCTGTATCTGCCAAGAAACAGTCGGCTGACAAGCAGCCAATCACCCCACAAAGTGTGGGGAAACCATCACAAGTCCTTAGGGACAGTCGGCCGCCAAGAAGTATAAACTGCACTGCTAGACTTAACTTATTTCTTCATCGCTTTCTTCATGTTTTTGATGTTTATATTTTTTGGATGCAGGCGGCCCTCAAGAACCAGACTTGGTCCAAATGGCCAAGTCTATGATTAAGGCCATCCCTCAAGAGGAGAGGGATGCGGTCAAGGGAGTTGGCACCCTTGACCTAGACGGCATAATGGATCTCCTTTCCGAGGTAGACTTGGAATATTTTTAAAATGTTGACTTTGCGTGTCGCCTGTTATTCTCAAATCTGACGCCTGTTTTTCCTTTTCCCAGACCATGCTCAGAGTACACGGCCTCCGAAGGCCGATCAACGCCAAGAACAAAGAGGTAAAGGCTGCTAAAGCTATGGTCGCCTCTGACGTTGATAAGGCAATGTTTCAAATTGCCCAAAATGAAATTTTGACAACTGATATTCTTTATTATCAGGCGCAGGCCACTTCCACTATCCGCACTGAGTTTGAGGTGGCCAAAAAGAAGAACAATGAGCTGAAGGCGACGGTCAAGAGTCTCCAAGATGAGCTGAAGCCACTTAGGCAGAAGATGACCCAATTTGAGGTCATGGAAAAATCTTTGGTGACTGTCAAAGACCGCCTACAAAAGCAGGAGAAGAGCCTCACTGACGAGCTTTCGGCCAAGGCCGAGAAAGGAAAGATGGAATTAGTCCAGGCCAAGATGGACGACTCGGCTTAAATCATGAAGATGACTTGGACGACCCTCTTCCCAAAAGCTCACTATGCCGCCTGGGAGAAAAAGTTCAACGCTTGTACAGAATCGTACAACCAACAGATCATGAGGCAGGCGGCTGAGGAAGACAAGGCGGTTGACTCCACCTTAGAGGAGGAAGAGGAGGTGGTGGCCCTGCAACCGATTGAGGTGGATGCGTCTAAAGAAGCTGCCCCTGATGCCGAGACAAGTAAGAAGGATGCCTCCCAGAACCAGGCGTCCCTTGTTGATCAGGCGGCAGTCAATACCGAAGCCCTGCCTCAATCTTAAAGCTTTTATGTCTTTTAACTTTTTCTTCAGCCTGCGCGCTGTGTGCTCTTGTATCACTTTACCCGGCCAGGGGGCCGTGGTATTGAATCTTTTGCTGGTCTTTATGGCCGGCTGTTTATATGAATTTGGCGACCATCTTTTGATCGTCTTTGCTCATTTGAATTTTGTTTTATGCTTAATTTTTGCAAAGTATAGAGGATCCTACTATCCGCTTGTACGTCATACCGACTGTTTTGGCTAAAAATGTTTTAAAATTTGTAACTTATCGTAAGCCAAAAATTGCGAATAGGTACTAGGTACCGACTGCCTATGCCCCTGGACGACTGGTTGTCTTGGTTCAAGGTTAGGCGATCAGTCGGCTATTTACCCAGTCGGACCCCCAACGTAGTTTAGGAAATACATTAGGTTTGTTCAACTTTTTCAAGTTAAAAAGGAACAGGCCGCTTATAACCAGCCCGCCTGTTTGATAAAATAGGAATAGTTCTTCAGTCTTTGTTTGCCAAAAAGCAGTCGACTTACGAACCAGATTTTCAAACATGTTTGGTTTGAAAAGAAATCATCTTAGTAGGGTCGGGGTACGAGAGCTCTGGTTCGCTTTTCGACAGGCGGACTCGTCATACCTTTTGAATCCTTACTAAGTATGAGAGAGTGACTTATGAGTAATCTTTGAGGTTACCCATTCGTCAGCTTTTATGCTTGAGTAGTAGAGGCACCAGGTGGCGGAAGCCGGCTGATCCCCTTAATTCACCAATTTTTGTTGGCTATTTACTCAAGGGGTACCGGCTGTACTTATCCCAAGTAATACAGACAGTCATCTGACACGGATGTTAACTGCTAACACTTGTTTGGTTTAGTGTTAAAGTTATCCTTGTCTCAAAAACGGCTACGTGGTTGTCCTTGGGGGACAGTCGTCTGGGTGCCGTGTAATTAGTTTATAGAACAATGTTCCACCCAAAAGGAAGCTGCTCTCTGCGACGAATTTCATCCGGAGGGATGCCGCCGGACGCCTGCTATAATGTTGGGACAGGTTGTATTAGTTTAAAGATTGGATCAGTTGGCTGGGCGCCTGGCCTGATCATTCGGCCATAGGCCTCAGATAGTTCATGGCGAACTAA